GTGAATGAGCCGTCTATGTCTTCTATTATTGATTAAAGAGTGTCGAATACATATATGCAAGAATGGGAGCAATAATCTCTCTGCAAACAAGGGACCAAACTTGGTCAATAATCCCAAGGGATAATAACTAATTAAAACAGATTCTACCCAATCTCCTAGAATAATGGAATATTAATAGTGAATATTTACATTTAATATTTAATAATTACTAGGTCTAACCATAATAAGAGATTTATGAATTTCAATTCTCACTAACTACATTCCCCACATTCTCTCTTGTCCTCTTTCTTATATTTTGTTACTGATTCTTTAGGTAAATAAGGAACATAGATTGGTGGTTTCTGACTATAAAGTAGCTCATAAGGTGTTGCTTTCGTTGAAGTGTGGAAAGTTGTGTTGTATCTCCACTCAGCCAAAGGTAACCACTTGCTCCATTCTTTAGGATTCTTCCAACTCATACATCTAAGATGTGTTTCTAAACAATGATTCAACACCTCAAATTGCTCATCAATTTGAAGATGGCAAAAAGAGGTGAGTTTTTGCTCTACTTTGATCAACAACAGCAACAACAAGCCTTATCTCACTAGGTGGGGTTGGCTACATAGATTATATGACACCATTGTCCTCTATCATTTATTAAGTTTTTAGGAATATTATTAATTAAAAGGTCTCGCTCAACAGCCTCCAAAAGTATTATCTTCAGTCTTCCTCTACCCTTCTTAACAAGGCTCAAAGTCTTTTGCTCCACTCTCCTCGTAGGTGCCTCTACTTTGATCGTCGTTAAGAATTCCTTACAGAAATTGGTTATGAATAGTGGATCCCGATCATTGATAATCTCCCTAGGGGTACCATGTAGTCTGTAAATTTGATCCAAAAAGCACTGAGCTAGGGTAGCTGCTGAAAGTGTATGAGAAAGAACCAAAAAAATGGGCATATTTGCTCATTCTATCCACCATTATCCAAATCACTTCCTTTCCTTCAAATTTAGGTAACCCTTTAATGAATCCATTGTGACACTTTCCCAAACCTTATTAGGAGTGCATAGAGTCTGTAATAATTCCAAAGTTGCTGCTTTTTCATACTTACAGCAAGCACATGTGTCACATCCTCTTACAAAATCCTGCACATCCTCGTGCATCTTCTTCCACCAGAACAATCCTCTAATTTTTTTCATAAGTAGTGTGCACCCCTAAGTGGCCACCTTGTGGACTATCATGTAACCACTCAAGTATTTGTTGTCTCAAGGCTGCATCAATGCCAACTATTAACTTTCCCTTTCTTCTCAAAATCTGTCCATCCCACACATATTTCTCAATGCTACCTCCTTTTCTCGGCAATTCAGCAATAATAGCCTTCAAATCAGCATCTGTTTCCTAGCTTTCCTTAGTTTTCTGGAGTAATTCAGTAGTGTCAAGGGCCGTTGGCAATAACTGAGGACCATATAACCTTGATAAAGCATCTGCCACTGTGTTTTCCTTTCCCTTTTTGTAGCAGATTTCATACTCATAGCCCATTAACCGAGCTAGCCATTGCATCTGAAAAGAGGTCTTCAATTTCTGTCCCAATGTGCACTTTAGGCTTTTCTAGTCTGTTTTAATATTAAACTTTTTCCTCTCCAAATATTGATGCTGGTGTTCTACAGCTTGCACTACTGCCATCAACTCCTTTTCATAGATTGATAATTTCAGACATTGGGGCGCTAATGCTTTGCTGAAAAAAGCAATAGGTTGGCCTTCTTGCATCAACACAGCCACAATCAAATCCACATGCGTCTGTATCTACCAAAAAGACCTTGTTGAAGTCTGGTAAGGCTAGGACAGGTACCAGCACTTCCTTCAAAATTTTAAAGGCTTTTGCTGCTGTTTCAAACCACATGAACCCATTTTTCCTTAGTAGCCCTATGAGAGGCTGAGTAATCTCTCCATAATGGCAAATAAATTGCCTATAATTGCCTACTAAACCGAGGAATGCCCTTAGTTGCTTGATGTTGGTTAGCTCAGGGGGCTACAACACGGCTGCTATTTTCTTGGGATCTGTAGAAACAGTCCCATTCCTCAAAATGTGGCCCAAATACTCAACATTGGTTGCTGCAAATGTGCAATTCCCTTCTTTTACATAGTAATGGTTGGCTCTTAAAACCTTCAACACCTTGAGATCCTCCACATGATCTACCATAAAAGGAGAGTATGCCAAAATATCCTTAAAAAAAAAAAATACAGGAACAAATTTTCTTAAAAGATGTCTTAAAATAGAATTTATTGCTCCCTGAAATGTGGCTGGGTTATTAGTTAAGCCAAAAGGTATAACCAGCCACTCATAGTGCTTTGAATGTGTTTTGAATGCTGTTTTATAGACATCTTCAGGATCATGTGAATTTGATGATATCCTGCCCTTAGATCCAGCTTCGTAAACCACTTGGCATTGCTAAGCTCATCAAATAAGCCCTCAACTAGAGGAATAGGGTGCTGAATTTTTGTTGTCTTTTTATTCAGCTCCTTATGGTCTCCATGACCCATCCTTTTTCTTTAACAGAACAATTTGGGCAGAAAAAGGTGAAGAGCTTTCTTGAGTAACCCCTGAATGCAGTAGCTACCCTACCAACACTGATAGTATCAGTCCCATCTTGCAGAACTATAGGATGATTGTGGCCCTCTCGCATAGGTGGCAGCCCCTTTGGTTCCTCAAAAACATCAGAAAAAACCTTTAGGGCTTGTTGTGTCTCTGTAGGTGGTCCTTCTTTCATCCCTGAAACAGCAAAGCAATGTATTTCTTCAGCTGTTGGTTTCATAAGCTGCAGTGGAAACCTTTGTTCATCCCTTTCGCACCTTGTTTCTACTCTTTTTGGTTGTACCATCATCCATGAATTAGGTTGATTGACCTGCAATTTTCATAATTGATCCCCATGCCAAAAGCATATGGTAAGAGTTTCATAATTCCAGAATGCATTCTTGATACTTAGCCATTTTAACCCAGCACCATGTCATATATCTTGAGACCAAGAATTCTGAAGTCAAAAGCAAACTCCAAGCCTTGCATTCTCCACTTAAAACTCTTCCACATGCCATGAATCTTGAGTTTTTCCCCTCCAGGCACTTCTACCCAAGATTCACTTGTTCTATTGGATTGCCAACTGAGCTTTTTGGCTATTTCCAGATCTAAAAAATCATGTGTGCTGCCAGTATATCAAAATATGTAGCTTCTTTTTATCACAGTGCCCTACAAACCTCATTGAGGATGCACCTTCAACTCCCTCAATTGCATGCAGGGAAATCAAGGGTGTACCATCAACATCAATCGTGTCTCCCTCTATTTCTTTAATTCTGATGTCATCTTCTAACGGTTCTTGGAATTCAATGAACTGAAGTTTTTTTCTGCTTTTGGGGACACCTATGGTCTCTTGAATATTTCCCATGGCAATAAAAGCATAGATTTTTGCTCCTATGCTCTGCTTTGTAGGAGTTTTAACAGAATTAGTGTTATTCTTAGAAGGCAAAACAGAGTTCTTAGGGGTTATAGCAGTTAACTTCCCTTTAGCTTGTGACCCACTGCCTGTTAGAGCATTCTTGTTGGGTGTCCATGAATTTTGATGAAAATTTTGGTTAGTATTCGTTGTAGCTGAAGCAGGAGCATTGTTCTTGGTGCTTGTCCTCCATTCAGCTTGCCTTTGTAAAGTTATTTCTTGCATGAGTGACAAGCTTCTTGCTTCTTGCTTCTTGAAGTGTTCTTGTCTTGAAAAGTCATACATGTCCTGCATAATCTTCATGCAATCCTTCAATGTATGCTTCAACCAAATATTCTTGTTCCATACGTAGCTTGCAAGTTATTGAGTCAAAGGCATCGTTGTAATCTACCAAGGATCCCTTCTGTCTTAATCTCATTAGATAAGCCATGGGAGATTCATATGAGGGTCCAAATCTGTTCTTGTGTGCTTCTGCAAGCTTCACCCAGCTAGGGTTCTCTTCCTCCCATGTTTTCTCCGGTGTCATGTGCCAATCAAAGGCATTGTCACCAAGACTGATGCTGGCCATCTCGATCTTTGATTCTTCAGAAGTGCCTTCTAACTCAAAGCATCTAATTTCAGGAATTCCATTTTGGTGAATTGGGTGGGCTTTCTATATTCATCTTGCTTCCCAGGATGATCATTCCTGCCATTTTTGCCTCCACTGCGTCCCCCTTCTCTTCCATGATTGGAGGACCCTTCCTCTTTATCTCACATCATTAGCTGAATCTGATTTGACAATCCTCTACTTGGTCGCTAAGTGCATCTACTGCATCCAATCTTGCAAGTTGTTCAATCTTTGCAAGACATTCTTCCATTGCCTTCTGTGATTGTGAGCGAGTTCCTATCACCATACGCCTCTTTGAATAAATCAGCGGTGTTTGCCAAGGATAGCCTGGCTCTGGATACCACTGTTTCAGAAAATAGAAGAGAGAGCAGAAAAGAGAGATGAGTAGAGAAGAATTGAGAGAGAAAGAAACTGGAGAAGCAGAGATAATCAGAGAGAGAAAAACAGATTCTGATCAACAGACTTCCATAACTCATAGGACGCTGGGTAAAACAATTAAGAGCCACAAAAGATGTTATTACCCTCAACAACCAATAACTGACTGAGAAACATGTTATTTATTATTTCCGTATCGTATTTCTTCACTCATGTTTCTCTCATATTCTACATGCTTAATTCATTAAAAACTGAACATCTTAAATTTATTTTTCTTGGCAAAATAGAAAAGGAAGAAAAGGATGTCAAAGTAAATTACCACCAACAATTATGGGCTTTCAGACGTGATTTTATTAGTGTGATGAAACTTGGTTAGATAACCTATTGTACTACTCTGTTTATATATTACCTAATCAATTCCCCCCAACGCCCACCCGTGGAAACTAGAAAGGAAAAAACCTGAAATTCAAAGCAAGAAGGGTTAGCATATCTCATTGTTGTATGCAAGAGGCCCCAAAAAAAAAAATCTTGCTTTCTGATGCAGCAATTTTGGTTCAGGTTTTCACTGTCGCTGCTGAAGATGAGAGGAAGAATATTGTCTTGTTAGCATTTGAGACCATGGAAAAAATTGTTCGTGAATTTTTCCCATATATTACAGAGACAGAAACAACTACATTCACTGATTGTGTTAGATGCCTTCTAACATTTACAAATAGCCGATTTAACAGTGACGTTAGCCTCAATGCAATTGCTTTTCTTCGCTTCTGTGCGGTCAAACTTGCTGATGGAGGACTTGTTTGCAATAAGAATAGCAGTGTGGATGGCTCATCAATTGCTGTATCTAATGGTGTTCCAGTTGTGGAATCTTCTATTGATAAAGATGATCATGTATCTTATTGGAATCCATTGCTATCAGGTAATAAGCTTCAGATATGTAGTATTGTGGTTATGTGCTATGAATTTTTGAAAGTAGAGAGCATTCTTGTTCTATATTTGTACACTTGGTTTATAACGGTTTTCTTATGCAAATCACATATTTCATATTCCTCACAAACACAACAATCAAGGTTGCTGTAATTTTTACTTTTTGGTAAGCAGTATATCATGGTTTAATAGTTTGCTAAATCATTTGTTTCTGCATTATGAGTTAAGCCTCTTTTCTAAAACATTGCCTGTCTGCTTTTGAAATTTTTGTTTCTGTTCCAGGGTTGTCAAAATTAACATGTGATCCCAGATCAGCTATCAGAAAGAGTTCTTTGGAGGTGCTTTTTAACATACTAAAGGATCATGGTCATCTATTCTCATGCTCATTTTGGGACAGTCTTTTTTGTTCTGTTATTTTCCCGTTGTATAACTCTGTATCTGGAAACAGAGAAACGAGTGACCAGTATTCAGCTTCTGTATCTGGGAATCCTGAAGGAAGCTTGTGGGATTCTGAGACTTCTGCAGTGGCAGCCGAGTGTTTAATAGATTTATTTGTCTCCTTTTTTGACATGGTGAGGTCTCAACTGCCAGGCGTGGTGTCAGTATTGATGGAATTTTTAAGAAGTCCCGTTCAAGGTCCAGCTAGTACAGGAGTTGCAGGATTAGTGCGTCTTACTGGTGTCCTGGGTAGCAGGTTTTCAGAAGAAGAATGGAAAGAGATTTTTCTAGCCTTGAAAGATGCGGCTGCATCAACTGTGCCTGCGTTCATGAAGGTCTTAAGAACCATGAATAATATAGATATTCTCTACATTTATCAGTCTTCTGCTGATGTGGAAAGGTCTTCGGATCATGAATTGACAAGTGATGATTTTGATGATGATAATCTTCAAACTGCTGCATATGTTGTGTCAAGAATGAAGAATCATATTGCTACGCAGCTACTTATTGCCCAGGTTTGTTTTCTTTCCTTTGCTTGCACAAATGCATGCATACAGGTAGCATAAACGTGCCAAGTTCCATGGCAATGGATTTATGACGTGTCAGTTGATTTGATACTTCTGTTCTTTTATCATTTTCCCTCCTTTTCTCTGCACTTGCATTTAACTTGAGTATAAAATTTCACTGGCTGCTTTGATCTAGGTCTTAGTGGAGACTTAGTTCACCTGCCTTTTTCAGTTTCTATCCCCTTGATTCTTTCTCCCCTGTTTGCTGACTCTTACCCTCTCTGTCATCCTTCAATGAGTGTCATCAATGATTATTTGTAAATTAGCTTGTTATATTTGTTTAATGGTTAATTTTGCTTTCTGGAGCATGGATACTGATAAAGTGCTTGAGCTAAATGGTTTTACTTTAATGGTGCGACAATGTTTCTTTCTTTCAAAGTTGGGACTTTCGCGCAAACAGGAATAGTAGCATAATTTAGACTTGGAGAATCAATTGATTAGTTCTTGACATAAACTGGAATCTGACGTGCCTGTTAACCTGGCCAGTTCAACCTGGTTATTGACTGGTTTTATAACATCATGATTAACAGGCATACTTGAACTGGGCAGCTAACCAGTTTGCCAGTTCTCTGAGACATCGTCCGCTCTCAGTAGTAAATTTTTTTTTTAAATGCTATTGTCAATCTTCAGGATTAGACTTGATTGACTTGACCACCTTATGGAGGAAAAGCCACTTCTGATGTTTGCTTGTGTAACCATGACTTGTGTGAATCCTATCAATTTATTGCTTAGGACTAAATGTTATGTCCGCATATTCTCATGCTTGAAGCTCTTTGTGGACCATTTATGATTTCTAAGTTTCGCTCTTGAATGAATTAATTTTAAAATCCTTATATGATCCGGCCACAGGTTGCAACTGATCTCTACAAAATGCACCAGCAGTCTTTATCAGCAATCAATATCAAAATCCTCCTTGAATTATATTCGTCCATCGCATCTCATGCGCATCAGCTGAACACTGATTCAGTCCTCCTGAAGAAGTTGCAGAAGGCGTGCTCTGTCCTGGAGCTATCTGGTCCGCCCATGGTTCATTTTGAAAACGAGTCCTACTTGAATCATCTGAACTTTCTTCAAACTATACTTGTCTGTGATCCTTCTCTGCATGATGAGATGGACTTAGAGCCAGAGTTTGTAGCCGTATGTGAAAATATATTGTCTATTTACCTAAATTGCACTGGTTTTGTATCCACCTACAACAAACCAGATGCCCGGCTGGTGCTACATCGGAAACATCCTTCGAGCTCAGGAAAGAAGGAGGAAATAGCTGCTAGGACTTCTCTAGTCGTTTCAGCGTTGCAAGGGTTGAGTGCTTTGAATAAGGATTCATTCAGGAAGTACATTCCACACTTCTTTCATTTGTTGGTAGATCTAGTGCGGAGTGAACACGCATCTGGAGAAGTTCAACTTGCCCTAAGCAATATGTTCCGTTCATCCATAGGTCCAATGATAATGGAATGAGTTTTGGTTGGTATATCCTGCATGAAATGTCACGAGATAGCTGTCAGGATTATCCTTCCATGCTGAAGCTAGAGTCGTTCCTTGGCCTTATATATTTTTTTATTTTTCATTTACACGAAACAGGGGTGCTGTAGGGTGTATGCTGTTGGTTGATCGTGATTGTGACGTTACGTAAATGAGAAACTTCAATTAAAGCAGCGTCGAAATATCATGGATACATGAGGTTTATAGATGGATGATCGTGTGAGCATCAGTCTCTTATTTTTCTGGCCAGGCGGGGATCCAAAACCCCTTGCGACAACCACCATGAAGTTGCTACATGGTCCTATTTTTGGGACGAAGTGACGAATAGACACTCTTGAGATCCACGTAGCATAACATGATAACGAAAGTATCTTATAGATGTTAAAAAGCTGCAGGAAGCTAAACATTTTGACTTGTCTCTTTACGTATTGTAAGGCTTTCGTGCCATTTTTTAACTTCGACAAAATTTCCCCCGAACGAGAACAAGAGGACAGAGTACAGCAACGAGGACCTCTTCGGTTCCAACGATCTCTGTAATCTGTCAAAAGGTTCGTGTTGTATTCCCAAAAAAAAAAAAAATCTTGTTTGCCTTGTGATTACAAGATCTGTAATCCCTGGGAATAGAATGGGAGTATAAAGAAAAACTGATATATCAGTCATTAAATCAATACTTTTCGCCCACGAGGATGGCAAAGTGGCTAGTTGTAAAACAAGCCAATGAGACGGTGAACTTATCAATTGATTTTCTATTTTATTTGAAAGATTGCCAATGCTCTGATGGACATTTATGGCGTTTAATGAGTTCTGCTCGACTTCTTGTATATATTTTTTTGATTTCAAGTATTTATATATTAGTATTGTTTTATACGTAATAACTTAATAACAAAATATAAAATTATATATTCTGTTTATGTGTTTGTAGAAATATTAATTCCACAATTATCGCATTTTGAAATTGTTCGCTTTCAAATAATACATGCCGAATAAACGAGTAGAATCTAGGAGACTAGCAAAGGCAAAGCTTTCTAGTTTCTACTGTCGATTGAATAGATTAGTTGTGGAATGGATTTGTGTGGAATAAATAACGTTATAGATGTGATTGAAAAAAAATTAACGTCAATAGTACTAAGAATTAATATCATGAGTAGATAATTTACATATTTGAACGTTTGACTTTCTTGTCAAATTCTAAAGTTTGCAGCAAGTCTTGTCTTGATATCAGAAAATCCGAAGAATAGTAGTACTACAAGAAAGAGCAATGGTTTTGATAAACTTATTTTATTTGAACAAATTCAAACGGCAATGTTGAAATTGAAATGCTGGTGTACGACATACAAAGCTTTTGGCATTCCACATCATGAGATAGTTATGAATACTAAATCTAGAGGAGCTATCTTGGCCACCCAACAAGAATCTTTCCCGTACAAAGCAGAAGCAATTCGCCCTGAGGGGCCCTAATTTAGCCTCCACCCACAAAAGCCAGCCACTCAAGCAGATAAATCCCTAGAAAAAGTGCCCATATCCTTCACACCAAATGCGCTTACTCTTTCAAACTAAGTCTTGCATTTTGGACCTTCACTGATAACTTCAACTTCTGTTCTTCCATATCCCTCAAAACAGCCAGCAGGTTTGCACGATAAACTTCACATCGCTGATTCGTACTCCTCAACTCTGCAGTCAACTTTTTGATTTTTTTTTGCTTCTCCTCCTTAAGAAAGAGGAAAGATTTTATATCATACCAAGTATGCATGAAAACATATATACAAGCCGCATACAAGATGAGGATCTCGTCCCAGTATCATCACAAGCATAGAACCGATAAATTGTTTAAAAAATGTCAGACATGTACCATTATGCCAAAAATTTAACAGGATAAACAAAACGCGAGGTGGCATTCAGATCGTGGCGTTCATCTAGGCATTGCGGGTAAAAAATTTCAAATTCACAGGCTAAGAGCTTTTCATGTAGTTAAAACGTTGAAACTTCACATTCATTAAGGATGACAGAGGAGAGTAGATCATCATAGAATTATTTTTTAAAATAAAATTAAACACACATATGGTGTGATGGGATTGATGGGAATTTGAATTTTGAGTTAGACCAAATCCCTCATTTGGATATACAAAAATTTATAAATTTGGATTTGAATAAATTTCAGATTCTCTTCATGCCCTAATCATTTAAAATTCCAGTTACTTTAAACACCTCATTCTCTTCATATTTTTAACTTTGATGCCTCTATGACTCTCCTGTCTTTTTTCACATCTCATTCTCATCTCTCATCAATTGAAGAATAGAAATAAACTCACCACTTTCAATTTTTCACTTTTGTTTCGAATCTCAACTCACCTCTCTCCTTCATTTGAAACTTTATAAACTACTCAAACAAAATTTTAAATACATGAATTTTAAATGTGAAATTTAAAATGTAAGATTCTAAATTTAGAATTCAAATCCAAACCCATCAATTCAAGCTACAATGAGTTACTTGAATCTACGTAGATCACAATTGAATTATTTATTCCAATTCTTTCATATCAATGCCAAGATCAACGCTAAACCAAACAAATTGCCAAGACAAATTTCTTGATCCTATATAGATCACGGCTGACAGGAGATCCTAGAACTGATATATCCATTTTTGAGCAATTTAGCCAGCTTGTAAATCAAGCATACTCAGCAAGAGTAACTTAATTGAATTAAAACAAGCATTCTAAAGCTTTTGAACCAAAATTATTTAGACACTACTGTAAAGATCCAATCAATGTTAACTCTAGCTGATGTATCATGTAGGTATACAAGACAACTTCAAAGAAAACATAAAATTAAAGAATGGCACAGTCAAGATAACAATATTTGCAGTTTAAGATGATCATGTAATATACATCAACTCTGAACCCTTAAACCTTGATCATGAAAAGGGGGGGGTAATTTTAGATTATTAAATGATAAATGTTGGATGATATCAAGCCCTGTCATGCTCAAAAATAAAATTCAGATATCATTTCCCTTAAATATTTATACAAACTCAAGTCCCCTCAAATGTGACTCGGTATGCATGATTATTCTGATGATATCTTCATCTCAATGTTAAAAGATTGTGACATAAAAATTAAATCACAAGGTAAAAGAAACTAACCACAGATGTATAGGTTGGCAGTTCGTCTACATCAGCTGCAAGCATTCCGCCCCTGCCTCTTTCAGCCGGTGCAGCGCCCTCTGTAGTCCCAGCATTTTGATCTTTTACAGAAGAAACCTTTTTAGCAGCTTCTTGAAGATATTTCATTGCAATGTGATAAATGTGAATAGATTTTGCACCTTCTTCAACATATTTGATTGCTTCTTGACGCAAATTGTTATAACGAACTGTTAACGACTGATGAGAATTACTTGTGCATTCAGATGCATGCTCACCTAACAAAGCTCCAACTTTTGCATTCCTTGTCCAGCGTTTCAACACATACTGTGGAGGAAGTGTAAGAACATTTTTTGCTCTGAAGACTGCTAGTATATGCCTACAAATAATTCCTGAATACTCAAACATCTGACAACTGCAACTAGCTTTCATTTCAAAAGAATCAAAAGTAACAACGTGAGCTTTTTGGTTTTCCCCAAATTTGGCAACCCTAAAAGTAATCAAAGCTCCAGATTCATTAGTTTTTGTTGCAGGATTTGCAAGAGTCTCTACCAACTCCTCTTGAAATTTCATGAATATCTTCCTCGTGTAAAGACTTGCAGCTTGTTTTTCCATAGGAGACGGCGTTTTCAAAACTGGGCTAATATTAGTCGTGTCATAGTCTGCTTTTAATTCCCTTTCATGCCAAGCTGATACAGCTTTCTCATATTGTTTGACCAACATCTGTATGGTAGTTGATGCATTAACATATCCATCAAAGAAAATATTCAAACATTCATTTCCCTCGTTTAAAGATATCTCCGCGAAGAAAGTGTCCCGCAAGTAAACCGGGACCCAACGTTGCCGGGCACTGTACAATGACTGAAGCCATTCATTATCCATGATGTAGTATCTATTTAGAAGTGATTCCCAAGAAGACTCAAACTCATCAATTGTCTCACTCTCGTTGACACATTTATTGAATTCTGGTTCAAAAGCGGGATGTGATTGGCAAAGATGAACCAGCTTCTCCCGGGTTTCTCTAAATATGCCCCATTTACCAAACCTATGACGTGTTTGAGGAAGAACTTGGGCAACAGCAACACGTATGAACGGATCCAGATCAGATGTTATGGAGACAGGATGGCGTCCGGACATAGCTTGGAGCCAAGTCCTGAAGAGCCATATGAATGAAGACTCAGATTCATTGAGAATCAACGCGCAACCAAACAAAACTGGCTGTCCATGATGATTAAAACCAGTGAAAGAGGCAAATGGCACCTTGTACCGCTTAGTCTTATAAGTTGTGTCCAATATAACAGCATCCCCAAAATAAGAGTAATTCATCCTACATGTTCCATCAACCCAAAATATATTTCCACCGGCGTGATCATTATCAACTTGAACTTTGTAAAAGAAAGCAGAGTTCTCTGCCTGCATGCGCTTCAGATAGTCCAGTACATAATGCGACCCGCCGCCGAAGGGACGCTGTCTAGTGCCACTCATGTTTCAAGTTTTAACGATTAACTGCATAGCAATTGTTCACCCTTACACTAAGAGCCTAAGAAAAAAAAAAACAAAGGAAAAGAACTCTTGACTCCACCTTGCAAAATATGATAACAGGAACGACAATCTAAGGGCAGTGCCTAGCATACACTCCCGAAATTCTTCGCTGATTTATCATCTCGCAAGCTAGGGCAGGAAGGATTTAAACCGAGTGAGTATGCCCATTCAGAGGATGCTTCACGTTTTTACAGATAGCTCAATTCCTGTTCAACCCAAGATTTTAAAAAAAAAAAAAAAACAGAAGGCGTTTTTCAAGGCGACTCTGAACCACTGCTCACAGTGGAGGATTCCGATACCAAGTTTAGTTTTCTTCTTCTTATTTCTTTTCCCCTCCTTTTCCTTGCCAGAACGATGCAATCTCCAGCCCAGCCTCCGTGCCTAGAAATCGAATCACGGGGGTGAGAAAATGTTCCGACTCCTGCCCTAGAAGAAGAATAGGCAACCTTCCACGAGGTAAACGTCATCCCATTCAAGCTAGCATTTTTAAAAACCGGGTCAAGGTGAATTTTTAGCTAAAGCTTTTTTTTAAAAGAAATGTTGGTCACCATGTAATGATAGGTAAAATATTTTTTTCTTAAATTATTCTTTTAAAAAGCAAAAAAATCTTTTATTAATCAACGATTAATTTTGTTATTTTTTGTTAATATGACATGTGCATGAAGCTCATATATAATGATAGGCAAGATTCTGATAATATTCTTTAATATTAATTTATTTTTAAATTTTTTATCAATAGCATTGCAGACTGGCTTCATATATAATGATAGGCAAGATTCTGATAATATCCTTTAATACTAATTTATTTTTAAATTTTTTATCAATAGCATTGCATACTTTAAAATCTTTTTTTAAAAGTGTTGGTTATCATAAAATTTTGTTAAAATAAAATTTAATAAAAATTACTAAAATACTAAATATTTTAATATTTAATAATTTAAATATTATTATTTATAAATATTCATCTAAAATTTATAAATTATTTTTTAAAAATATTAATAGTTGAAACTAGTTTTTCCATAAATTAATAGATGATTTATTATTTTTTATATATCAATTTTCAAGTCTCTCTTTAAAATAGTGCCCATAATTTTAATATTGATTAAGTTACTTAAATTTTTAA